ATAAAATTAAACATTTTATTATGTTTAATGGGGGAGGGTTATTTGTTCCTTTTAGCTGCCTTCAGTCACATGTTGTACAGGCAGCTATATCACTTGAATTCAATAAATAAATACAATCAAATAATTATTTCTAAAGAAATGGATCTTCTGGGATATTTTTCCAGCTACTCCAAGCAATAGCCCAAAGGGACTTTCTTTCTTTTCCTACTAATGGCTACCAACAGACCACAGGGAGTCCAATGGACTAAGTTGAATTGTGTCCATGATTTCTGCACTGGACCTCCTTCCTTGGTTTTTAGCAATTGCTGCTTAACAGGTGATTCTTCAGTGAAGCCTTTGTCACATATACTTGTATCCTACAGCAGGAAGAGGCAAGTAACTTGTGCCCTCTGCAGATTTTGAACTATAATTCCCATAGTCACTTTCCATCACCTAATATAATTGGAGTCATGTCCAGCACCCTCTGAGGGCGCTGAGTTATCTATTTCTGTCTTATTCATCTTTTTAACTAAAACAAGGCACTAGAACTTTCCCTGTTTAGTTCTGCTCTCTTGCTCTCCTTCTCCTTTTCCCTCAGGTTTAATTTTTACATTGGAAACCCTCTGTATGGAGAATAACCTTTCTATAATCAGGATACATTATATACTGCTGACATCGTGTGAATGAATGAAAGAATTCACGAGAATGTGAGGAAGCATTTCCAGAAGTTAGAGGAAAGGGAAATTATTGTTTGTGTGCAGCTTGGCCACAGTTCATCTTGAAAGTCCCCCACAGAGGCACATCAGTCTGTCCTGACGAAGTACCTTGGAGGGGCTGTTCGTTTGCCTTGATGAAGATGGTGCTGCTCCAACTCGTTTGGCTGTTCTACTTTGCCAGCATTGCTGCTGTTGCTGACTGAAGCAATATTAATGCTTCTCGTCAATAAAGAGAAATGAGGCTCCACTTTGGCTCACAGTTTAACCCTGAGGCAGCATTTTTATGTTCAAGCCTTGATGACATGAAACAGTCCTTCAATGTTCTGCCCAAAACACCACCCACCACCTTTCTTCTTCTTCTTGTGCCATATCCGTTATTGGACGTTGGCGATCATGTTGGCGATCATGTTTTTATCAGCAGCCGCACGAAAAAGTGCTGCTGATAATCCCCCATGATGATAAGGACATCATTTTTGGGTGTTGATTCTATAAGGTGCTGTAGGGCTTCATAGAACCGGTCAATTTCATCCTCTTCAGCACCAGTGGTTGGGGCATAGATTTGGACTACTGTGATATTGAATGGTTTGCCTTGGATTCGAACTGAGATCATTCTGTCATTTTGGGGATTGTATCCCAGTATTGCTTTTCCTACTCTTTTATTGACTATGAAGGCTACTCCATTTCTTCTGAGGGATTCTTGCCCGCAGAAGTATACCTGATGGTCATCTGAGTTAAATTCACCACCACCACCACCTTCTCCTTATTCTTGATACTATATTGTGTCTATATTCTCCTAGCATTTTACGACACTCCCCCCCCCCAGGCCACATCCAGCCCTTTGTCTGCCCTTGCCCAGCCTGCGAGGTGTCAATTGGAAATTAGAAATCAAATGTAAATAAGTGTACATCATGCACACAATAAAACTGCATCTGGTTTATTTTGAAGGCGATTGCTATTTTGTTTCCAAGTTACATATGTGAGTGTGTGTGTGTGTGTGTGATTCTCCACACCTTCATAGCTCTGTTGGTTAAGCCCTCCACAAGAGTCCCAGTTTCTTAGGTGACCCCCTTGGGAAAATTAATTGCCCAGCCCTGCCCTGGTAGCTCAAGGTAACATGAGGTCTCCCTTTATTTTTTCTGCAGAGTAATATCCACATGAAATAGGGTAAGCCAAAAGGCAGTGCCTGTCCCAAAATAACTCACTCGTTCTGTGACTGAATAGAGAACGAAACTTGGATTTCTCCAATCCTGTTTAAAGCAGGAGATATCTGAATCAAAGTAAAATCTTCCCCAGCCCGCCCAAAAGGGGGAGGGTATATTTGTGTGTAACAAAAGGGTGTATATGGAGGAGAAGAGAGGGAGAAGAATGCAACAGCTGATTCTTCCTTCTGTTGCATTTTGATGCAAGATTATTAACCCCACTCCTCGTCACATGTGGAAAGCATTGTCCATTTGCGCCCCAAGGAGCTAAGTCTTTTTCTTTGCTAAAAATGACAGGGAAGGCATGGAGTCAATTGGAACAGCTAGCGCAGTGATGGTGAACCTTTTAGAGACCGAGTGCTCAAAAACTGGCCCCGCCCCTGCTCCACCCCCTGCCCTACCCCCGCTCCGCCCCACCCTGCCTGCCCACAGGGCCACTCACCCCCTCCAGGGCCCGCCGCAGATCGCCCAGGCAGCCCAGCAGCACCATGGCAGCCATGCCCTCTGCCCACGCCCTGCAGCATCAACTGTGCGTGTTGGGGCGTGAGGGCAGAGTCTTGTCTACGCTGCCTGGCTGCCATGTCCTTGGCTGCACTGTTCTGCATGGTCCACGCTCAGGGGTGACTCTCCTCCAGGGAGGCTGCTGGTGAGGTTGTGGGCGGAGACAAGGCAGGGGCAACAGCATGTGTGCCCACAGAGAGGGCTCCGAGTGCTGCCTCTGGCACCCGTGCCATAAGTTCGCCACCACTGAGCTAGCATCTCCAGTTGCACCTTAGCAACCAAATGGTGTGAAGAGCATGGATAGATGGCCCTGTGGTCCAAGTGTTTGTGCCCAAGTTCATATCCAGCGCATGAGATAAAGAAAAAGCGCATGAGATAAAGGAAAGACAGAGTTTCCAGATTTATACGTAGCAGTAGATTAAACGTTTCCATTCTTTGTCTATTCTAAACAAAGGCTGAAGGGTACAGTTCAGTTGGATGATGCTCTTTTATTTGTTGTTTATCTGCTAAAAGGCAGGAAATGAACAAAGTGAACTCATTTTCCCAGCTGCTTCTGCCTACTAGAAACACGTCTCTGTGTGTGTCTGTGTCTGTGTGTGAAACTATCTCTTGTTTCTCCCACCCCACCACCCCATGGAAGGAAAAAGTATCTTGATGTAAGCAGTTCAAACTAGGGAAGACTTTCCTGTATTATAATAATACTGTTCCCCTGTGTTGCTACATCACAATATATTTGCTCCTTCCATCTACTTTTGAGGGCTAAATGAAATATTCTCTGAGTGTCATATCTTAATTTTTTATTTTCATCTTGCAAGGATTGGAATGCATTTCTTTTGACTCCATCTGACCCATGTCCTACCCTATTCTGGGTGAGCATATACCAATAAAATTAAATAACATCTCTCTAGTCAAGGAATCTGTTTTCCTGAGTGGGAGTTTTGCTTTTAAAACTATTTATACTATGTAGGGAAACCCAAACTTTTATTTTGTGAGATTTTTCAAAGGAATCATTTCGCCCTCTTTTGAATGGCACACAATTTCCAGCAATCAGAAAAATAACCAGATAGGAGTGACACAGACTGATGGATGAAAAAAGGGCTTATCAAGTCAGAGGGCTATAGTTTTTAATATTTTTAAACTAGCTACAAAATGTCAATCACATCACAAACTGACAGGAGACAGAAGGAATTTCATATTACATGCGGCAACTATATTTAATCTCACAGTTTTATCTAGAATTCATTCACGTAAATGATTTTTATTTTGTTTTATTTTAAAATCAATAACAGCTACTAAACATTGCCGTGATTTTGGTATGCATAGCTCTAGATAAGCAACAGAGAACTGAATTAATAACAAACCACATGGGGGAGGGGAGAAAAAAGAAGAAAAGGAATCTGTGTTTGTGTGTGTGTTTGTGTGTGTGCGTGCACGCAAAAGCGTGTGTGAGAGAGAAAGAGAGAGAGCTAGAAAGATACAGCCTTATAAAAATTACATTTCTTTGCAACATTTCATATGATAGCCATCCCTCCCCCTGAAAAAAGACAATTTTTGAAAGCAGCAGACAAACTCTATATATTACACTTATATCTTATTTGCTGATGCTTTTTTGTTGTTGTTTGTTGTTGTGTTTCAGCCAAATGTTTTATTTGCTGGCAATGATGAAATGATAAGTGCCAGATCCAATTATTTGGTCTTAAAATGAGGTAAACGGGAAAAAAAACCAACAAAAAAAAGAGGAACCAACATCTTTATATGGAAAAATAAGACGGTGCTACTGCAAACTTGCTGGTATAACATAGTCCTGACAGGGTCCCAATACCAAGCATGCTAATTTTTTGTTTTCTTTTGTTGTCACTGATGTTATTACTGCCATGGAAAAGTCTCACTTAAGTTAAAGAGTCTAAAAGTCTATTTTTTCATGCAATAAATGCATAAATCACATCACTGTTTGCTTAGTGCAATGCTTGTTATAAGTTATATAATTCCACATTGTCTTATTATGAACTTAGAACAACGGATGAACAGCAATGGAGAAGTTGAGGGAACATGGGGTTCTTAAGTGCTTAAACAACCATGATGTTCAAAGAAGAGACTTCTGGGGGGGCAGCTCTGTGAAATGTTAACAGTTTTACAAGAACAATACTGTATAGTTCAAGGTTTAACAGCACGTTGAGCATTCCTACATTTTGTTTTTCATTTAGCAGAAACGTCATAATTTAAAAAAAAAAACCAAACAAACAAACAAACCCACCAACCAAAAATGGACAGAAAATGAAAGGGGTGGACTGGAAGGGAGGGAGGGAGGGAGAAAGGAAAAACCCCAACAAATAAATAGAACATAGTCATGAGTTATAGCCATTAAATCAGTACTATATACATATACAACCTTAGGAAAGGAAGAGGTTTGGAAAATAAAAATAAATTTACAAGTATTATTTTTGGAAAGCTGACAACTTACACAGGACAACATTTACAGAGGGAAGGAAGAAGAGGGTCTGATATGTGCACGTATGCAAACCTAGTTGGTAAATACCATGAGAAAAAGCATGAGAATGCTGCCCTCGGGGACAGTGTGTGTAGAAGGACCGGCCCCTGGTTGCCTTTAACTGCTGCCCAGCATCTTTGTTGCACGTTGATTGGCTTCATCAATCCTGTTTTTGTTGGAAACAGCCTGAATTGGAGAAAAGAGACATGGAGAAAAAGGGTCAAGATGGCAATGTTGTCGAGAAAGTTGAACTAGAGTAATGGATATCTGGGGAGGGGTTGTGTGTCCGTTGCCAGAATTGTGTGACAGTCTAATGCAGACTATATTAATACTGAGTAGTAGTTCAAGAATCTGTCTCAGGTTCCCACACCACTACCATTCCTGTTATGCTCATCTGTCTTCTTTACGAATATTTATTTCAACGATGATTGAAATAAATAAAATTTTTCAGATGATTGAAATAATAAAAAAAATAGCTTTAATCCTGGCCTCATTGGAAATTGAGGGGTCCTTGATGCTCTCTGAGCTTGCTTGTTTTCTTGCATAGGTTTCATTACCCAAACTAGGTAACATCATCAGTGCTAGTCCTGGTATGATGTTACCTAGTTAGGGTGATGAAATGTCTGTAAGAAAACAAGCAAGCTCAGAGAGCACCAAGGATCCCTCATGTTCAACCCTGAGTTACAAATGTTCTCCTTTATCATTGGAAGGTATTAGAAAAAATATATTATGAACAGTTTGAACCAGAAAGCATCTGGACCAACTATGAGTGTTGATGCCAGTGGCAGCTCATCTCTTTTACCTTCTCCATGATCCTGTCCATTTGGCGATTCTGTGTATCAATCTCATTGCCCATATCTAGAGCCATGTGACGGAGGTTTCCAATGATGCCGCCGACCTGTTCCAGGTTTTCATCCATCTCACCTTCTCGGGCATCATTTGTTACCCTGTGGAAGAATGAGAATTAAAACTGGACTGAACCGTATTATCCAAGGCATGGATGTTTATTCAAAGTTATGTTTATTTATTCATGTAAAGGAACACTATTTGATGGCCATATCTAAAATTTTCTGGGCTTGTATAAAAACAAACATTGAGCAAAATAAAGGATATAATCTTCCACAACAGTCACAAACTGAATCTTGTGTCAGAATACTGCTCTATATGCATAGGCATACCTTTTAGGCTAATTATAGAAGTCACAGAAGAACCAGCAGAACGTCAGGACACAATAAGTGGGAATACTCAGGCACCTTGTCACTCCTTTCTGAACATATTTAGTGAACGTTATCACTGCAATTTGCATATTGGTTCATTCTAGAGGGTTTTTTTAAAACAACTTTATGTTATTAGCAAATGGAGTGACATTACATGCAGAGAGTTTCCTGATGCCTCACATGGTTTTTTTTTCCTGAAGGAAAAGATGATGGATCTGGATAAAACCACCATCAAGCCATATGTTCTACTCAATGCCAGAATCCTAATTAAAATATCTGAACATATGGCTGCCTAGCCTTTGCTTGAACATATCCAGTGACGGGAAGATGTTCAACTGGGGAAATGGTTCTACTGCCAACCTACTTTTAATGTGAAGAAGTTTTATCCAATAGTCCACTAGAATTTGCTTTCCTGTAATGCAAATCCATTATTTTATACTCAATACTCCCGAAACAATACAGAATAGTTCTTGACTTTCTTCTATGCAATGTCTTTTCAAACACGGGAAGAAGCTATTTTATTCCTCTTTTCCTGGTTCTGTATATTCTTCAAAGAACTTGATAATAACAAAGAACTTGATAGCAACAAAGATGATTAGGGGACTGGAGGCTAAATCATATAAAGAACGGTTGCTGGAATTGGGTATGCGTAGTTTAATAAAGAGAAGGACGAGGGGGGACATGATAGCAGTGTTCCAATATCTCAGGGGCTGCCACAAAGAAGAGGGAGTCAAGCTATTCTCCAAAGCACCTGAGGGCAGGACAAAAAGCAATGGATGGAAACTAATCAAGGAGAGAAGCAACCTAGAAGTAAGGAGAAATTTCCTGACAGAGCAATTAATCAGTGGAACAACCTGCCTCCAGAAGTTGGGAATGCTCCAACACTGGAGGTTTTTAAAAAGAGATTGGACAACCATTTGTCTGAAATGGTATAGACCTCAAAGGTCCCTTCCAACTCTATTATTATTATTATTATTATTATTATTATTATTATTATTATTATTATTATTATTATTATTATTATTATCATCATCATCATCATCATCATCATCATCATCATCATCATCATCATCATAGTTTCTAATCCCCAATCATCTTCATTTATCTATCTCCATCTCCATCTTTCTTTTTCTCATCTCTCATCTATCCTTTATTATTTTTATAAATAACTCAAAGCGGCAAACATACCTAATACTCTTTCCTCCTATTTCCCCCCTGAAACATGAGTTGGAGTGAGAGAGGGTGTCTGGCCCAAAATCACCCAGTCAGCTTTCCTGCCTACATATGAACTAGCACTCAGTTTCCTGGTTTGTAGTCTGATGCCTTAACCACTAGACCAGACTAGCCCTATTTCTCAATTTTTATATTAGCTATTTGTCTTTTCTCAACCTTTTTTTGTTTATTTCAAGTCCAGAACTGGATGCAATAGCTGGAATGGGATCTGACTGCCACAGAAGAAAAGGGAATTTTACTTTCCATTATTTGGAAATGATACTTCTGTTGATGTTCAGAGGTTTAAAACTGCATTTACCCTTTTTTCTAACTATACTGCACTCCTGCTTCCTATTTAGATGTTTTGCAATTCCCCCCCCCCCCCATAGAATGATTAAGAACATTCGCATTTGCTCTTGTTAAATATCATTCTGTTATTTTCCACTTATTTCTCTGTCATGTGAACAAGGTTTTGCACTTTACTTCCAGCTTCTAGGAAATTTGCTGCCTCACTCAATTTTGTGTCATCTGTAAATTTGAGAATCTCCTCTTTCTCACCCAAGTCATTAATAAAAATAATGAAGAGAATACTGTAGGTTCTTCAAATGCACCTGTTGGCAGCTCATTTGATTCGCATTTGATGTATTTATTTGTCATGCCATCCAGCTCATGGTTAATTAGCGTGCTACTGAGAATGTCACAGTGGACTTTGTGAAATGCTTTGGTTTGTACCAAATCATTCGGTACACTCCAGTAATATATTAAGAAAGTCACCTGATTCCAAAAAGTAAGAAAAAGTGAATATGCATTTTAGTATTTATTATATTATTTTCAATATGTTTACAAATCTCTCTCTTTATGATCTGCTATGTGGTTTTCCCAAAGCATTTGCTAGACTGAGAGGTCTGGAGTTTCTCAAACCACTCTTTCCCCCTTTTTGGAGATTGGAGCGTTATCCGTTCTCTTCCAGCAGTTCATGAGTTCTCCAAAAATTTTCCAGAGATAATATGAAGAGGCTCAATATGAACATCAATGTTTTTTCCTCACTTCCCTAGAATACAATTTATCCAGCCCTGGAGATTTATATGAATAACTGTTCCTATTACTATTACTACCTTGTGATAAGATGGGCAGCAAACAAACAAACAAATAAATAAATTTACTAATAGTATTCCCACTATTGAGGTAACGTGCTATCCATCACCCTTGAGCTGGTACCAAACAATGGCAGGATAACACTCTTCTCATCAACGTTCCCTAGCCTACCTCAGTTATATCTATTTGAGAAAATACCTCACAGTACGGAAGGCTGACTTTCACATTTTACCTGGGGTGGGGGGTGGGGTCTCAAGGTTGACTTGTTTGCTCCCCTTCTTATACCCTATCTGGACAACTACCAAACTGAAATAATGTGAAACAGAAATATGGAAAGATAACAGGTATGGGAGGAATTTGTTTCCTATATAATCATTGATTTCATTTATTAAACTTATGTACCACCCACCTTGCCAAAGGCGACTCTAGGAGATTTACAATCATTATGAAAAAAAAAAACTTCAGAAAATTAAGTACAAATGGAGAAAGTCAATGTTGGAGAGAAACAGCTGACTAGAGACCAGAAGGGGAGAGGGGTTATCCATGACTACAAAACATACTACTGTTCATGCCTACAAGAGGTCATCTGCCCTTGCCTTTAAGCTAATGTGTGACAAAGGCAGATTTTACACAATTTGATAAGCTAGGATAGTGTTGGCTTAGGAGGGAAAATCTACTTGTACACTTAAGAATGTTTGTTCCATGAGCTAAGGATGAGTTACTCATGCCTGGATGCAAAAATTAACAATTCCAGGGAGAAGACTGAAATGGTTGGAGTATGATAGTGTCATGATTAACTGCAAATAGAGCCAGGCAGGGCCCAAGTTTTCACTGGTTTCAAACTTCAGTCTTTTCCCTTCATCCTGCTGCTGGCAATTGCCTGATCGAATACTGTCTAGTTGAAGGGGACTATGCCAGAACAGGAACTGAGTTTCTCTTCCTTTTTTGGTCATTTGTTAGTGTTATTATCTATTACAAAAGATGGAGGATCTTTGGTTGCCTTGTCATTCTCATCCCTACTAAATCCCTTGGCTCTAGGGATATACACTGCTAAAAGGTTTCTGGCTTTCAAATATCTAGCAATTTAGGTAAGGGGTTGGGGGGGAAGTCTCCCAGTTGATGCTAAT